ACGGAGCACTGATTTTCGGTTCGGTTTGGATTCGGTGCGGTGCGGCGAAACTTTCGAGTATGCTAATTTGGTACACTTAACCTCCAGTCGGCAAGTTCCTCGCGTGCTATGTGACTTTAACTTTCCGTCAACACTGTACTCTATCCCTTATAGTTTTAGACTTTTTATGATTTCTGCTGTGATTTGATACGGAACTTAGTTAAGTTGATCTGTTTAAGACGATGATGTACCACAAAAGACCCGAAGATGATATTTATTTACATGCAATACAATATGTCTAATATACATAAAAATATATTTATATTTATAAATATACATTATTTATATTATTGTAGTTTTTAACGAACGTTTTATTTACTACTCTCGCTGTAACTAAACATACAGTCTACGTGTAAATTACTGAAAAAGAAACCAACTCAAAAAAATTCAAACAAAACATTGCGCCCAAAAGACGAACAAACAGCAACAAATAGAAACTACAAATTACAAAATACAAAGTGAATCAAAATATGCAATTAACTTACATTAGTTCAAAGAAGCAAAAGAACAAAAGATGAAAATACGAAAATATTTACGAGTATAGCGAAAACGTGCAAAAGTTGCCGGCAGCTTTAGATTGAAATTGCAATTGAAATTTACAAATCCTAGACTTTTGCAGCCCCTGACCAGTGAACCTTACTTCGATTGTACCATATGACTAATCTGTAATTATCTTACGGCTACTGAAAGTATTTTAAGCAAGGAGTCGGTGACAGAAGTGCACGCTACCAATGAAGTCAATATTTAACACAATGTTTAGCAAATTGTTGTCAGGTTGCGAATCGCAACTGCGAACCATAAACAATCGACTTCTGGCCGTCAAAGATACTCTATATATCTAGCTTACGTTATAGAGCTGCTCTCCTCATTAAGTAAAGCCCTCACTCAAACCTAATGTAAATGCTTTGTTTTTAAATCCAATGTGAGAGTTTCATCGTGAACATTAAGCAAATGGAGATTGGAAACTGCAGTCTTAAACCAACAAGAACACAACTCTACAAGTACATGATAAAATAAATAAATGGTAAAATGAACTCAATTGTGTTTCAATCAAATTGAACAGATAGTAGAGTAGAAAGTCAATATAAATATTTTCAGTTCATTACTCTTTCTATTTTAAATCGACATCCTAACATGGTACTGGGGGCATTTATTATACAGTTGAGTTGTCAGGGTTATTCCTCGCAGGCGCCTTCGCCATCTTCGTCGTTATCGTACTCGTCCTCATCCTCGTCGTCCTGTTCATCATCTTTGCCCTGCTGATCCCACCAGGAGAGCACGCCCAGGCCGGATTCGTTGATGGCACCCTGTAAAACGAACACTCTCTATGAAGATAAATCCCTTACAAGGCACAAAATGGCTTACAATAATCCTGTACGGTGTCTTGACTTCCTGGGAGGTGGCTGAAGCGGCACCCGAGGATGTGCCTTGTCCCTGCTGCGACTGGGCTTCCGCCTTGGGCGGTCCAATGGGCGACGTTTCCTCGAAGATCTCTCGTGAGACCCGGAACTTGATGGGTTCGCCCACGTCCATGAAGAGATCGTGCTTGGCGCCATCCTCCAGTGGATATTCCCAGACCCAGGCCTGTTCGGCCTCATCAAAGCGGGAGGGATGCTGCAGGGCGGCATGTGGGATGAGGATGTCGTCGAAGAAGCCAAGTGTCACGTGGACGCCTTCCCGGCTGCAGTTCCGTATCTTTCCGGTGATCACGGTGCCCACCATCGGCCGGAAGACCACATACCGGAAAAGCACCTCCGTGTGCGAGGCTCCGTCGCCCGGCAGGATCACGGAGTCCTTCAGCGAAACAATATCCTTCAGAGCCATGCAAAGACCCACGTTGAGCAAGACCTGCGAGCAAAAGAAGACAGAAATTAGGACCTCCCATGGGAATCGCAGTTAATCCACCTTGTTAGCCAGCTTGCGGTCGATCTCGTCTCGCACGGCGTCCACCAACTTCAGGTGGAACTGGTCCGGTGCAATTCGCACATTGTCTTTCAGCTCGGCCAGCACGAACATGTCGCCTGATTGTTAAATTATGGAATTCCAAACTAATGGTCGTTCATATTATTGTTTTGAATGCGAATTTCCATGTGCAGAAGACGTAGTGTGACCACATGCACATAGACAATAAATACCAAGAAATACTATACTAAATTAAAGCTTTCTCTCATAGGTAGGGTATTCCAATTGCTTAGGTGTCCACCCGCAACATATATGTTTCATTAAAAACCCACTTTAAAATATAATACTTAATATATTGCAGTTATTCTTTATAAATGTCTCTATTAATAAAACTAAATTACGTATTTTTGCATAACAGTCACAGGTGCGCTACAAAAAGGTCTAGTGAATTGCCGCCTGCCGGAACACTGTTGGCAAACTCAGTAGAATATATTACTTAAAAATAGTTTAATGGTGTTAAGAATATCCCTATTGTTTTAGGACAGAAAATATACCACTCAGGTAACAGACCATGAAAAATACCAAAACAATGTCAACGTTTTACAGCGAATGGCATTCGCAACACGTGTGGAGGTTTGGCAAATTTGTGAAATTTCTGGTTTTAAATTTCTCAACTTGTAAGCACTCTTTAAGAGCTTTTGCCATATAAATAAGAAAGCATATATTTCCAATTACTAGTAACTGCATGTTCCACGATGAACGACGATAGCCACAAGTACAGCGACGCCGAGGAGGACGAAGAAGAGCTGCGGAGTGTAAGCAAATTAGTTATTAATGGCGAATAAAATCATTTAAAAAGTAATTTTCCGCAGTCTGAATGGGTAAACGACTTCAAGACCCTCACAGTTAAGCACGAGATTTTCAAAGACATCAAACTGACGCCCAAAGAGGCCAGCGATGACCTGGCCCAAGTTATAGAGCCCGCCAACGAGGAGGAGGAGGAACCGGAAGACGAGGAGGCCGAGGAATACGATGAGGAGGACTACGACGAAGTGGGCGATGACTACGATACGTACGAGGAGGCCTACACGGGCTTCAACAAGCTACATGTCCAGCCCCAGCTGACAAACGCCAGTGGAGGAGGCTCCGGCGGAGGATCTGGAGGATCATCCGGTAACTCACAACGCGTCAGCAGTTACCAGCCCAACGATAAGCTGCTGCGCCGATACTCCGCCCGCATCAACGTGGAGAAGTACGATCCCACCACCAATATGAGCGCCCAAGCTGCCAACCGGCTGGTGAACTTCGATCGGCGCGAGCGGACCCAGGTGCGCGACAAACACGACAGGGCCACTGCCGAACAGGTGATGGATCCTCGCACCCGGATGATTCTCTTCAAGCTGCTAAATCGCGGCCTGATACAGGAGATCAACGGCTGCATCTCCACTGGCAAGGAGGCGAACGTCTACCATGCTGTTTCCAAGAACGGGGACGAGGAGTTTGCAATCAAGATTTACAAGACATCCATTTTGGTCTTCAAGGACCGCGACAAGTATGTGTCCGGTGAGTTCCGCTTCCGGCACGGCTACTGTAAGCACAATCCGCGAAAAATGGTGCGTACCTGGGCGGAGAAGGAAATGCGAAACTACCTACGGATGCGTAACGCCGGCGTTCCAGTGCCGGAGCCGATCCTGCTGCGATCGCATGTCCTGGTCATGCGTTTCTGCGGTCGCGACGGATGGCCCGCGCCAAAGCTGAAGGACGTCGAGCTGAGCACTTCAAAGGCGCGCGAGTTGTACAGAGATTGTGTGGTTATCATGTGGCGCATTTACAACCAGTGTCGTCTGGTGCACGCGGATCTTTCAGAGTTCAACATCCTGCTGCAGGACGGTCAGCTGGTGATTATCGACGTGAGCCAGTCGGTGGAGCACGACCATCCGCATTCCTTCGACTTCCTGCGAAAGGATTGCACCAACATATCGGAGTTTTTCCGTAAGCGGGCAGTTGCCACGATGACCGTGAAGGAGCTGTTCGACTTCATCACCGACCAGACCATCACTGCGGACAACATGGAGGAGTGTCTGGAACGCATCTCGGAACGGATTAAGGACCGTGACTTTGACGCCATCTCGGCTCAGGAGAAGATTGACGAGGCCGTGTGGCAGAACACGTACATACCGAAGCGCCTGGACGAGGTAGGTTTTTCTAGTTTGTTCCTCATCCAAGACAATTTTACCAACCAAGATCCCTCTTCACAGGTTCGTCATTTCGAGCGAGATGTGGCCAAGGCGAAGCAGGGAGTGCAGCAAAATCTCATCTACGGCAAGATCACAGGTCTGACATCGGATCTGGATGTGCAGCAGCAGCCAGACGTCCTTGAAACTACAACCGGCAAAGAGGAGGAGGGTAGTGATGCCCATTCAAGCGGAAGCGAAGACGAGGATTCACAGGATAACGACAACGATGACGATGCTAGTCGGTTCAAAAACTCTGCAAGACCACGGGAGGAGTCTCCGGAGAGTAAAAAGGCTCGCAAGAAGGCCGTAAAGGATGCCAAAGCCGAGCAGCGCAAAGTGAAAGTGAAAAAGCACGTGAAAAAACGAAAGGAGAAAATGGGCAGTATGAAGAAATAAAACTGTAAATAGTAGTAATATAGCAAGGAGTTTAAGTTCTTATTATTTGATTCCAATTTTAACTTAAATGCGTCGTAAGAAAAGAAAGATTAGGAAGAATATTTAGTTTTCAATTCTTAAATATGCCCGCTAATGCTACCTTCAATGCTGCCGTTTTTTTTTAATGACGTTTAACATTTTAAAGCATTAAAATATCATTTATGAACATACTGATTCACAATTACATAAATGCAATGCAACCCAAGTTAAGATTATTTCCTCATTGTAAATACTATATGAAATGGCTGTGGAAACGGCACAGCTATTTAATTAAATCAAAATGTAAAGTACTCCAGTTTTAATTCCATTCAGCAGAACACACGTGGTGGTTTGAAATACTTTAAATATTTTTCCGCTTACTTAGCAAATTTGGTTTTATGAATGAATATCTTACGCCAGCAGCAAGTTCTCACTTACTGATTTCGGGTTCTCTTATAAACTTAACTCTCTTAAGAACAACCGTGAAATGGCGAGAAATTATAAATTAGTTAAATCCACTCTAGAATCCAAATTGCTACGGATAGATTCAGTAAGATATATCACTTGCGACCGCAATGTTGCTGCGAGTTCTCGTCTTATATTGGAGTTTGCAATCGGGAAAAGTGGCAGAATCCACGGTGACGCCACTGCGATACAATCTGACGATCCTCACGCACCTGGAAGGCGGTGCTCAGAACCGATATGAGGGAATCGTATCCATAGATTTGGAAGCGAAAAAGGCCAGTCGCTATATATATCTCAACTGCCGCTACCTAAACATGTTTGTGGAAAAAACATGGCTATTGCGTTGGGCCAGCGGCAAGAGAATCACCGCAACTGATATAAAGAAAAATGCAAAAAAGCCCAACGAAGTCACAGTAGTTATCAACCTTCCTCTCAGACTTGGCGAGACCTACACGATGCACATATTCTATACGGGCAATCTGAATAGACCTCAGAAATACGGATACTTTGCCGGCCATTACGACCAAACGCCGCAAATTTTTTACGCCCTAACCCGCTTGGAGCCGGACTACGCGCACACCGCGTTCCCTTGCTTCGATAGCCCACTCCACCGGACTCCCTTCAACGTGACCATGGTGCATCATCAGAAATTCGTTGCCCTCAGCAATATGCCCGCCATAAGGGAGACACCACAGTAAGTAAACCCTAGAAAGATGCGACTAAAATGATATTTAAGAATTATATATCTTATGCTTGCAGCGATGAGATTAGAGACTATGTGTGGACGACATTTATGACTTCTCCGCCGCTGGCTACCCGTCAGATCATGTGGGCTCTGCACCGCCTGGAGAAAGTTTCCCATAGCGTTACAGCTACTGGAGAGAAGGTCACCACTTGGGCGCGTTGGCAAGTGAAGGAAAAGTTTGCAAAGGCGGCAGAATTAACACCGAACCTGCTCAAAAACTATGAGACCTTGTTCGGACTTCCATTGCCGAATGGGCCAGACTGGGGTGGAAAGTTCGATCAAGTGGTGCTGCCGGGTTATACGGAACTGTACAGCGGCAAGGGTCTGATGGTTTACGGCGAGGAAGAGGTTGGCTCCAGCCAGAACCCGCTCAAAAGTCTTGAGGTAACGCTGGCGGAGCTGGTGGCGCGCCAGTGGAACGGACTACTGGTGAGCGCCTCCGACTGGGATGCATCGTATGTGCGCGACGGCTTCAACAACTATTTAGCCTTCCAAGTATTGGCCAGGGACAACAAGGGGGAGTACAGCAGGACCTTCCTTCTCACAACTCGTCTAGATGTCTTGAATTATGATTCCCAGACTGAAACAAAGGCCATCGCAGTCGATGTGAGAGAGACCCGTCACAACAAATTTCGCAAACACAAGATGTGCCTGCTCGCCCACATGGTAAAATTGGCCATCGGCGATAAGGCGTTCTTTGAGGGATTGCATGAGTTCTTCCAGCGGTACTCCAGTTCCTCCGCTTCCACCAATCAGCTTTGGAAGCAGTTGCAACGAGCGGCCCGGCGCAGTCACCAGCTGCCCATCGGTGTGGTCCTGACCACTATGATGGAGTCATGGCTGAAGCAACCAGGATACCCACTACTTACCGTCCTTCGCAACAACAGGGATAACAAGGTGACCATCACACAGAGCCGCTACTATCGGAAGAAAATGAACATCGTATCAAAGGACTGCTGGTGGGTGCCAGTCGTCTACATCACCAAGAACATTTCGCTTCCCCAGGTTGAGTGGCTGGGCTGTGTGAACAAGGAAGCGGAGGTAATAACGTTAAGCAACGTCGTTGATCCGAATGAGTGGTTGCTGTTGAATGTCGATGCTGCAGTCCCTGTTCGTGTCCTCTACGATCTCTACAACTGGAGGCTGATCAGTGAGGCTCTGCTCCAGGATTTCTCCCAGATCTCGGAGCTCAGCCGTGCCCAGTTGGTGGATGATGCCTTGAACCTAGCCTGGTCGGGTCAACTGCCCTATAAGGTCGTCCTCAGCTTGATCAAGTATCTTTCGAATGAAACCAGCATTGCTGTTTGGCAAACGGCAGTTACTAATCTGGAGAAGTTGCAGAGCATCATGAGAATGAGCACTGGCTATCGCATCTTTAAGGTAGGTGTACGCAAATTTTAAATAAAAAACCTCGATTGCATCGCCCTAATGTTTAAAATGTATCTCTCATATCTAGCTGTTCATGCGGATTCTCATTGAGCCATCTTTTAAAGCAAACTTCAAACCCTCTTCCGGGAAAGCCAGGACCGATGCAGCATCAAAAACCACGACAAGTCCAGATAAACAATCGAAAGCCTCGACAGGTCCTGACACACCGTCGCTGTCGGGGATCATGTACCGGCTGGCGTGTCAGTACGAAGTCAAAGAATGCTTGACCGATGCACAGCAGCAATTTCAAAAGGCGATGGACCAGAATTCCACTTCCTCCATTCCGGAGGAACTGCGGGAGACCGTGCTGTGCAGGGGCATCCGCACCGGGTTGGAGTACCACTGGCTTATGGTGCGAGATATGTTCTTTGAAGCCGTGAAAGAGAAGGAAAAGGGCATTCTTCTAAATTCCCTCAGCTGTACTACGGAGTATTGGGCGATGCAAAAGCTGCTCGGTTGGGCCTTCGACTTCGACAAGGTTCCTAAAACGCTGACAGTTGGCCTCCTGACCGCCGTGATGCGCACCTCACTGGGTTTTTATGTGGGCAATCAGTTTCTGGTAGATAAGATGGATGAATTCGTGCGCCGGTGAGCATTTCAAGAATACTCAGGACGACTCTGAGTAACTTCTAACCGACTTTTCAGCTTCACCAGCAACGAACTGAAGTCGGTTCTGAGTCCGTTTATCAATGCAGTGACCACCAAAGACGAGCTTGATGAGCTGCAATTTCTTATTAAAAGGAAGCTGAAGTCCTTGACGAGCTCCAGTCTAACTGCCATGCTAGAGCCCGCGTCGGACAGGTTGCACTGGCGGAAGTATAACTATTTTGACCTCCTTAACGCCATCAAGAATATTACTGTAGACAAGGATTCACAAATCAGTTCTTTATGGAATTCGGTCTAGAATAGCATTTAAGTTAAGTATTTGATTTTTTGGGTACCGTCTTTTAGATTGTCGCCCATTTAGAAGTACACAGTACATAACATGGAAAAGCCCAAACATCATTTTTATTTTTGTACAATTCGAATTGAAACCACTTTAACCACTATATCTGTATAAAATGTTCTTGTCTTTTATCTGCAAACAAAATCGGGATTGTCGTGTCATTTTGTTATAAACAGATTGCGAATATTAGTCGTAAATTTTGTACATTTCCGATCTGTTTGCAGATTTTTGGGTACTTAAGGCGTCAATTTATGTGGAACGCACCTAACTTAAGGCTATCTTAGGGCTAACTTGTATCCTGTCAGGAGAACGGTGCTTAAGTATGTACAAAGAGTATCTATCTGTATGTTTAAAATCGAACATCACAGTATTGACATTGACTACAACTAGGGAATAAGATTCATCTTGAGTATTGGTTGCAAAATCAGGCATAGCAACGCTTTCGCAGGCTAATGTACATCATCACTCGGAAGAAGAGCATCAGCATGGCCAGCAGTCCGAACTGGTGCAGCATAGACACCTTCTCCACGTCCAAAAACTTGAGCAGCACGCGAGGATCGCTAAAATGGCAGTATATGTCATCGCAGTCGAGCTCCTCTCGCTGGAATCCGAAGACGGCCAAAATCAGAGAAACCACGCCAACGCGAATGTAACTGAACTTCATGAGCAGTTGCATTCCTCCCGAGATCTGCGGCGCAAAGTCAAACCCGTATACCGCCAATCCCATAAGAGGTGCGATCATCATCGGACCCACCACACTGCCGTTCTGGAACGATAGGAGAGAAGGTTGTTTTAGCCCAAAAGTATACCTCATACGTGGATTCGTTTAAGTTGTATTGCAGGAATAGGTGACAATTCTTCTGAGATCATAAAGGGTCTTGAAAACTCACCGTTATGCTGAAAGTGGCGCCAATAGCCAGGCCCATTCCCTCGGCTACTAGAGAGATCATCAATCCTACGGCCACGAAAATGCAGAAGCGCCAAAACTGTTGGGGCAGCCCGGACATATAGTAGGTAACGGCCATGAAGGTGATGTTGAGTAGCACCTGAACTGGCAGTCGAGACACCGTCAAGGCCATATAATACGGTGTTAGAGTATACCAACGGTTGAAGGTCTCCTTCTTGACCACCTTTACCTCAGCGGGATCTGTGGGTTAACCAGTGTTTGAGAGGATAATCCAAAGACGAAAAGCAATACACTTACAGCTCAGGATGGGCACCATCACCTGGGTGTAGACAATCATGAGGACGGCACCGATGCAGAATTTGAGATGGTCGAACATCCGGCCACCTTGGTTACCAAGTTGGAAAAATATCAGGCCAAAGAAGACACCACACAGAAGGTGATGGAACAGTTGGATGGTTAGAGCCAATCGTGCCCTCGTTATCCGCAGCAACATCACCCGCATGAGAACCACAAACTGTCGCAGTCCAGATACATCCCTCCGATCTGTATTGAGGCGTCTTGAGAAGGCCTTCACTTGTTCCAACAGAGCACTGGTGCCTCCAATTAGGGTGCCATCCGTGGAGGCGGCACTGCCGGCGAAAAAGGCGGGCAGGAATGGACGCTTCTGGTGCTCCACGAACATCGTGGTGACCGCCTGCTGAGGTGCCAGTGATGCACCCAACTGGTCCGACTGAGTCGCCACATAGATAAGCTTGCCATTTTCGGTCAGGTCACTGAGAGCCGGGACCAGGTGACCATCCTCCGCATCCACCAGCTCGATAACTGCAAAGGAATTTGAAAGATAATTTTATTATTTTTCATAAGAAAATGGAACTGATTGAATTTATATTAGAAACTCAAAATCTTAATCATTTGTATTAAATTTACTAGAATGGAAGTTCGAATCAAAAATAGTCTATCTTAATGTAAGCTTAAAATCGCAACAAGAAGTATGTATGAACTTATGATCTTAAATTTTCAGAAATGTATAGGTAACTCACTGTAATCCGAAGGACTGTAATGTATGGGACAGTCGAGCTGGGCCAGTCGCAGGAAGGGAATGGTGGCTCGAGGACTACCTTGGTAGACGCAGTGGCCCTTAGCCAGGACGTAGATGCTATCGAAGTAGTTGTAGATCGTCGCCGAAGGTTGGTGGATAGTGCAGACGATGGTCCTACCTTCGCGGGCCATCGCCTGGAGCAATCGGATGCACTGGGACGCTGTGACTTCATCCAGGCCACTGGTTGGTTCATCCAAGAAGAAGATGTTCGGGTTGTCCACCAGCTCCAGAGCGATGGACAATCGTTTCCGCTCCCCACCGCTCAGCTTTTCTGCCGTTACATTGCGCCTATGGTTCAAGTGCAGATTCTCCAGGATGTCTGTCATGATCTCTGCCTTTTTGTGACGCTGCTTTAGCTTAAGGTCGCAGGCGAGATTCATTAGCTCCTCGACAGTCAGCAGAGTCTGGTGGTGGTCGTCCTGAGTGATATAGCAGGCATTGTCCCTTTTGATCTTTATGCTCCCCGTCACTCCGTCGCGCCTGATTAGGATTTAAGGTAAGATCCGGTTAAGTATTGGGTTTACAATGCTCCACAAACATTTACTTATTACGTTTTTACTTTCAAGTAGTTCCAATTATCTAACTCATTATTTCTAACTTCATTTGTTGTTTACTTCTAGGTCTCTGTTTTATCCCTTGTGTTCTCATCATGATATTATAATAAAATATTTTAACGACAACCAGGCCCTGACAACCTTTTTCGACGCAATTATTTCTACAGCGTAGCTTCGTGACTTCGCAGATTCTGAAACTCTATTCAGATCTGTAAGTTTCCACTACATGTCGAGGAAGCGTACGATTCAAGCAAATATGCGACTTTTATTGTGAAGGTCCGGAATGGCTTCATATTACTGGAAACGTTAGTCTGCTAACCTCCAGCCCCGCAAACCCTACAGAACCCAGTTGGCATTTCGCATTCGACTCGGAATCAAGCAAGATCTTGGCTTAAATCACCAGTCCACCATAGAACCGGTTAGGTTTCAGCTCCCCAAATGATATAGCTTTTGTTTTGTTACACTTGAGTTCAAATGACGTTGGGAACATAACGTCGGATGCAGTAGAGCCTGGTTTGGTTAATTGTTCTCACCTGAAACCCGAAATCGCATTTAGCAAACTGCTTTTTCCGGCTCCCGAGGGTCCCATAATGGCCGAGAGTTGCCCGTTCCGGAAACTGCCGCTGACTCCGTTCAGAATTTGACGCTCTCCGGTTACGCGCCCTAAAAATAAACGATTTAATAAGTTATTAAACGGTGGTTAAATTATTATTTAAATAAGGAGATAAATCTGAAATAAGTAATATTCTTATTAACTCAAAGAAATGGAAATCAACTTATATTAAAATCTCTTTTATTTCTAAAGTAGAATGTGCTAAACAACTTCGAAAATAATCAATGCGGTTAATGTCTCATATAAAAATAAAAAACCACCTGTGTTTAAAATATTCTATCTATTACGTTTGAGTGTTTACTTTTCTGGTTTATCTGGAACGATTGGCTTATAAGATGATGAAATTATAAAGATTGAATAAATCAAGTTTTATTTTTTTTACGACCCAGCATTGGGAACTGGCAAAATCACTTCCCTTTCATTAAAGTGGGGATTCAAAGTTATGCACGTCTAAGAATAGATAGATCGGTAAAAATAGCCTGAGAACCAAACAAAACATTTTTAATCATTTTCGTGTCATCGGCTGACAGCGGAAAGATACCGAATCTGACAGATGATGACTTGAGGAGATGGCATGACTGGCAGAAGTGAAACCAGCTTCCGTCGAGTTCCAAGGGTTGCCTGAAACCCTCAATTATGCGTCTTCGCACGTGCATAATTTATTCCAGTTATAATTTGGCTAGGGTGTGGAAAAATTGTGATCGCAGGAAAGTTTTGAGTGCTGAATCGTTGGCCAAAAACTACATATTTTCCATACTTTCACAGCAATTACTCATTATCGCAATACGAACCTGACCTGCACTTTTCACGATCTGTCAGTCTCGATTCACAAATGAGTTAATGTGTGCCAATGCCATCTCCGTTCTTATCAGCAGTGCAGCCGTACTATACTATATGGTATTACCGAAGGTCGTAATCGAATGGTGCGTGCAATAATTGATTCCTTTAGTATGTTTCTTATTGGTTTACGACTTCCATGGGTAACACAGAGCAGACAAAATGATAAAGTTTGGTCTTTCCTTGACACTAGGGTTTGCTGATAATGACACATTTATAATGTTAAATATGTTCTTAAAATGTACTTTATGTTAGAAAGGCGGAAGTAACGTTGAGAAAAAATACATATGCTTATCAAAAGGTTCAGTTACATTTTATTCTAATGTCAAAGTCTGTTTGAGATTATAAGCATTGATTTATATTGATAACCGGGCTTCAAAGCGCCTATCTGCTAAACAATCAATTAACATTAACCAGTAACATAAAAATTTATTCATATTTTGACAATAAAGTTTAATTCCCCTTTAAGTTTAAAAAAGAGGTTTTGCATATAATAAAATTCTTAATATTATAATAAGTGGCAGTTTGTTAAGATCATATTTTCCTGTTCTGATATAGCAAAAAGTTTTGCTAATGGGATCTTTTTCGGTACATTTTAATTAAAAAACGGTAACTGTTATGTTTCCTGACTACTGAATGTAATTATGTAAATAACAGATCTCTTGCCAATCCAATATCTGACCCAGTTCTCGCGTTCAATTAACATTCATTGCTCAACCGAATCGCGGTTCGCGAACCAATTTAAGAAGGTCACCGACAAGTCGGAGTCTGTCGCAAATCCTATTATCAGAGCGTGTTTACCAGTGACCGGTCTCCATAAACTAGCCCCATATCAATTAAACGCACGCCTTTAAAGCTTTCTGGCCACCACGTTCTGGGCACGCGCAGCGGTCAGAACCAAAAAATTCAGCAAAACCGTCGAACAATCAACAGTACGTTGGCTTGGCTGATTTATCGGACAGAAACCCCTCCTCAAACATGGGGTACCGCTGCTCCCACGATGCTACGTGATTCACATAATGAGGCGTGACAATTTGTTGGGAAAATTATCTTTCAAAAGATACGGAAAGCTGATTTGCTATTTTTGGACCTCAAAAATGGTATCATGGTGCGGAGTTCATTTCCATTTAT